TCCATAATCAAATTCTGCCTGTTAGCAGTATAAGCTGATGAATATATTCTTATAGCCAATAACTGGTGGTGGTCAAATATGGTCTATACTGTTTTCTCTATACTGTAATGAATCAATCATTTTAAATGCTAAATGAGTGAAATTATGTATCACAACATTAGACACAGAGATTCTGGCTTAAAATAGAAAACAAGAGATCGACAAAACAACTAGTTAGGACAAAAAAAAATGCTTTTTTCAATTCCGTATGGTGTTTCTGGTTAGGATAGTGTATAAATGTCTATATGGAGAATGTGTGTAGATTTTGGCTGTTTGCTCGGTGTGCTGCAAATAAAAGAGTGCTTAATGTGAATTTCAACAGAGGTGCAGGTGTTGCAGAGCAAATCGAGCACTTGACGTGAAGTCTTGCGGAATATGAAATGAATAAATGATTGATAAACTACACATATGCATGAAAATCTGTGGTCTGTCTCACTTGAGAATCACACACTGTGGAAAAGCTTTCTCGTTCTTTGTTTTATATTCTCGGTGATGGAAAATATGAAATGAAAAGTGATGGAATGGACTTGGGGGTGCACACACATCTTCAAAAGCATTAGTAGATGTTTCACATGCATATGCATTATTGAGACATGAATGTGCACCGCTCCGACACTCAGGACCTGTCACGCTCACAGTCTTTATTTAGTATGGTTGTGTGCTGCAGTATAGTGTGTTTCTCTGGGGCTCAGAGTCACAGACCGTTCAGACACTGACCCTAGATCCTGGTGGTCTACTCTATTATTGCATCTATATTTGATGATGCTTAACAGCACTAGGTTTAAACAATTGATTTCTCTGTGCATAGCACACAGTCCACAGCCATTCATATGAGTCACTATTAGGGTTGGGTATCGTTTGAATTTACACGATTCTGATGCCGATTCCTTGTTTCGATTCCGGTTCCTAACGATTCTTGATTCCGATTCTTTTAAGAGGCAGGGTCAAAAAAGTTTAGCTAACCTTGCTAACCAACGGTCTTTCTGAAGGAAATACTCCTTTTGTCACAAATTTTGCCGAGGTTTCGTTATTTTTAGAAAAGTGAAGCCACACTTTGGACCGCCGACGTAAGCTACTCATGTTCGACTCGCGCGGTCATGGTACTTCCGGTAGACGCTTCTTCGCTGGTGTTGTTCAGCGGTTTCTTCTTCCGGTCGGCGGACTGTGAATATCGAAACTAGGAATCGAAATTTTTACTTTTGAACGATTTCGGGAAAAACGAATACTAGCATTTACTTCTTATGTGATATGTTCACTTCTACACTTTAAAAAAGAAATGTTTTTCCAGGAAAAATTAATAAATAATCATTTGTATTAAGCATCTGCATCTCTTTCTTTTCAGTTTCTTTCTGAACATTCATTTATAGAGTGTCAGATAATAGGAATAACACCAGCCTCTTTAATTAGTCTCTAGACACGCGACTGAATAGCGTGCCTCCAGGAAGTGCTGTCCTTCGCAGGCCAATCCCACTGAGATCCGCAGGCTTTCACGGAGTCTGTATGACTGTGTCCTCAAGTTGTTGGTTTTGACCTGATTTACTCAGAATCAACAAAGAGCCGGTCCGCCACAGTGCTGCGGTGAATCTCAAACAGGCGCTGAGGTGACAAGCACTGTGTAAGAGGCACCAGTGTGCTTGTCAGATTGACAGCGGAGTTCAAATGCAACCCTCCATACGCCTCAAGCTCATGTATGCACGCTCATCCACATGTTCCACATGTGTGACTGTGTAGGTAGCCACTGGTCACTGATAAAAACGGGGGTTGGGGGAAGGGGGCTTGCACCATTGCATACACCAGGTGGCTGTCTGTCAGTTTGTGATGCTCTTTCCGTAGTGGGCCTTGCCTGAGGGAATTATGTAAGTTTGTGTTTTGATGGTAGTTGTGAGACAAGAAAGCAATAGAACGAGACCGTCTCAGAGGAGTTAACACAGATTCTTACCTGTCAATATGAGAAAGGAGAGAAAAATTGTATGTTTATGTGTGTGTGTTTTGCGTGTTTGTGTGTTCTTGTATGAAGTGAAGTCAGTGATCAGGAACAGCTAGACAGATCCTGGAGCAGTCATGCCACCCTGTCTGGACCTGTTCTGGTACTCTGTGATAAGAAAAGGAGAGAGAGCAAGTGTTTTTTTTTTAAAGATCACTCGTCAACGGCCAGGTCTTCTCAGCAGCGTGCTTGTTTTGAGGCTGTTCTTGCATTGATTTGGAATTTGAAAGTAACTGTAATGCTGTACATGTCCTTAGACAGAAGCTTTTAATCATAGTTCAGCCAAAAATGGACATTCAATCATTTACTGAAGATCATTTATTTACCTTCATGTCGTTCCAACCCTGAATGACATTTTCTTCTGTGGAAATCAAACGAACGTTTGACTTCAAAGACTATGTTGGTCACTCTTTTCCATGCAGTTACAACAAATATTTTCACCGACTGTGATGACACATTTACATTTATTAACGTCATAAATCAATTTTTTTTAGTTTTTTTTATATATATATATATACATATATATTTAACAAAATTTGATTAAATTTACTTTTTAACATATTCTTTGTGTTTTATTAAATTACAGAACACATGGATAATTCTGCTGTGCGAGGAGTGTTTCTAATGCAAAGGTAGAGGGAGCGACAGCAAGATTTCTTATTTCTGACTAATGTAATTAACCTCTCAATATTTTAAAATTTTGGAAAGTTATAGAAACTATTTGAAAATATTTGGAAAGTTTATGTTCACCACTATAGAATCTACCCAACTTTATGAATTTAGCTTCTGGGAACCACCAGAAATGTGATAGGGTCTATGAAGAAGGACTGACACTTTCAAGTTTCAAAAATAACACAGAAGCATTATAAAAAATTAAGGCTGTCAGTTAAATGTGTTATTAACGGTGTTAATGCAAACCCATTATAACGGCGTTAATTTTTTTTTTTAATGTGTGATTAACAGTCTTTTTGGCCTAGCAAACTTTAGTTTTTTTCACATGCTTTTGCAACAGGACACGGCACTATGTTATGAAACCCATTTCAATGACTTATGCCGCGCGAGGACGTTTTGTTGCTTCGTCACTTCGTCGATCAAAGCGCAAGCGGTTCTAGCTAGACCGGAAACAAAACAACAACAGGCACACCGGACACACTTGTTTGGGCTTGCGAGCCGGCCAAATAGTTGGTTAACGTTACTTTATGAGTGGATGACGAGCGCGAGATGCCGAAATGGATGCCAATAAGATTCTGAATGGAAAGTTTACTTTTAAAAAGTTGCCAAATGGTTCCATTGACAAGACCAAAGTGATCTGTGTGTTTTGTCGTTGTGAAATGAGTTATCATTGCGATCGCAGCACGTTCATTCTGAAATACCACTTGATGATGGCCAAGTACACACACAGCTGATGCGAATTCTCCACCCCCTCGTTAATATCAGGACCTCGTCAGTATTTCTTTCACCCTTTTATTGATGGACAGTGTTGCATTGTGTGAGAGATTATTTGCTCCAAGTGAGAATGTTAGTGTGAAATTGAACACAGTATATGCCAATGTTGTTTTCAGTAAAGAAACATTTGCACAAAGCAAGCCGAAGCACTTTAAAATTAGGGGGAAAAAAGCATTAAAATTAGGGAAAAAAAATAATCGGACAAAAAGAAATCAAGAGACATTTAGAATAGATAAAATGTGCGATTAACTACGATTTGACCCTCTGGGGTCTGAGGTGTGTTCTGACATGCTCTGACATTTGTACTTTTACTGTATACATGTATACATTTAGCTTTAGGCTTCATATTTTTAAATGAAATCTCATTTCATAACACATATTTTAGTCTGTCACCTAGTAGCTACAATGTAAAGTTTATGCAACAATAACATGCTACTATATTAGTGTTTTACCTTAAAAATCTTTCTCATAATCAAATCATGTTCTTCTAATTCTTCTGAGGTAAATGCAAGGCAAACAGCACAAACACAATCTTCAAACATGACAAAAAGCAGAGTGGGACTGCTGAAGTCGCTGATTCTTGGTTTAGAGGTGATGAGGGCGGTAACAGCTCTGCGTTCCTCCACGTGGATCATTTGCATATGAACAGCTTGTGGGCGTGGTCACATTAGCACTTATTAGCTCAGCCTGGAGAAACTGTACATGTTGTTGCTTTTATACGAATTTCTTAAATTGAGAATATTTGTTTTTGATATGATTTACATAATTTAAAAATGGACACTTCAAGCTTCGTAAAGACATGTTTCATGTCACAGTGACAAGCATTTGCTGAGTAACAAAATATTAGAAATGTAGTCCATAATACTCACGCTGTGTCTTCGAAGTCGTCTGAAAATAGTACTTTGTGCCTGAAACTGACACAAAAATGTATTTCATTGTTCACTGAACTCGAGAACCTAATCAGTCTGATTTGTAAATGAATGATTCAAACTGGTTTCAGGAACAGGTAATGATTTATTTGATTACATTTACAAATTGGACAATGTTTCTTTTCAGTTGACTCTCATGAATCTGACCGGGGAAACGTCAATACTTTTAGTGAATAATGGCTTCAAAATACTTGGAATATATACTGCTCAAGTGGTATTCCACATTTGTGAGGCCTTTGTGTCCTTTTTTTGACATTTGAAAGCTTACATTTTGTGTTCCACATGAGAAAGGAAGTCATGCAGGTTTAGAATGTTAAATTATGTCAGTTTTCATTTTAAACGAACTATAAATATCCAGGTGTTTCTGGCAGAGTGCTTGTGTTGAGACAAGTATTATAATGCTGTACGTCTCTTCCGACAGGAGCTCTAAAGGTCATGTGTTAACTAAAAGAGTTTTTATACTGAGCACTGGTTTGCAGGAGTTTTTTACAAGGGTCTTTTGTTCCGCTATCATATGACTGTAGTCTTCCAGAACGCTGCAGTTTTCACATGATTGTGGCTTTCTGATTTGTACTCTGATGTCTTTGTCTCTGTCTCCGTAGGTTGCCGAGGGAAGCTGTGCGGATTTGGAGCGTTGTGTGAAAGAAACCCGGCTGACCCCTCTAAAGGAGAATGTGTGTGTAAGAAGATTGTGTGTACGTCCGTTGTGGCGCCGGTGTGCGGATCAGACTCCTCCACCTATTCCAATGAGTGTGAGCTGGAGAAGGCCCAGTGCAATACACAGAGACGCATCAAAGTGATGCGCAAAGGCCCCTGTGGTAAGTCCCGTCACGTACTGTACACAAATCAGTGTATCTATTATTATTTTCAGTGAATTTAAAGGCAGCTGCACATTTTAGTGTATAAAGACCCTTATATACTGTAAGCATAATAGAAATTGTAAGCATTCAATAATTGAATTAGTGTTTTTTTTTGTCATTGTATTAAATCAATCAAATTAAGTTAAATAATGATCTGCAAAAAAGTTTCTAGAAGAAAGACGTTTTGAAAAAGTACTTAAAATATAAATATTCACTAAAAAATAAAAATTTCACTTATTTATTATTTGGCTCTTTTTAAATTTTCAGTTTGGTTAGTTTTAGGTTAAGTTTTAAGTCGAGTTTAGAGTATCCTAACTTAAATTCAAGCATTTTTCATAAAGACCATACAACAGTTATCCCTCTTATTATTATTTATGAATCTCAGTAGAGATATATCATCTGTGGAGAATGTGAATTTTGTGTTTTCTACACTGTTCATCACGTGTATTTCAATCAATTTCATTCATGAATGATAACTAATATATGAAATGTGACCCATAATTAAGCAGACTCTGTGGCAGTGGGGCTGGCCAGCGTGAGCCGTAATTACGTGATCCGGTAGAACATGCTGTACAAACCCTTCAAAGAGCTCTAATTAGCCACCTCACATGCTGTCTAGCTGGAAATATTCAGTCCCGAGGAATGAGTGCTCCAGCCTACCAGTGAACTCCAGCCTCCATTCAGAAACGCATTAAAGATCGCACTGTCCCGTTGTGTTAATGCAGTTGAAGTTCGGCTCCATGCTAATCGCTGCTGGCTCCGCAGCAAGGCTTTAATGGGAAGTTGCCTCCCTGCTATTGCGCTAATGAAATTGACAGTGTAGCTATCAGGGGTCATATCTCTCTCGCTCGAATGAGATCACCTGCTATAGATAACGGGCGGTTCAGTGTTTCACCTGGGTCGAAGGGTTAAGGTGGGAACTGAGTCAGGTTGGCTGCCGTTCTTTGGTTCTACTCCGGTGGTGTAGCATCCCAAAATATTCAAATAGAAAATGTTATTTTATATATGACCATATAATATACTTTTGTGATGGGAAAGCCTAATGTTCAGGTTCATAACAGTCTTCAGTGTCACAAAAATCATGAAACATTTATTATTATTATGTTGAAAACAATTACCTGTGATTCTTTGATGAATAGAAAGTACACCATTTATTTCTTTCGTAACATTATACATATTTACTGTCAAATTTGATCAATGTAATCCATCCTTGTTGAAAAAAGTATTAATTTCTTTGAAAAGAAAAATCTTACTGACCCCCTATATCTAAATAGTACTAAATTCTTATTTTTAAATTTTTATTGTTCTATTTTATATTATTTCAATATGTATATATTTATGTATAAAATCAAAATGCAGTTCAATGGCCATATGGAACTATTTATAACTGTTAGGTTTTCTCAATGCACACTGCATTGGCAGGAGTGTCAAAGGTTAATTTGGACCTCAGGCACGGGATAAGAGTGAGACAGAAAAGAAATACAGAGAGGTGCCCTGTTTTTAAAGATGAGCAGGGGTACTTGGGTGCTCTGAAAATATTGAACACCGGTGGGTAAACAGAATCTCCAGCTGTTTGTGTGAGTGAGTCAGTCAGTCATTCAGAGAGTCAGTTGATTGAGTTAAAGAAAGAAGTGGAGAGTGTGTGTGTGTGTGTGGCTGGCCTTATGCTGGAACTCGTCTGGATTGGCAGCGGCGCAGCAGAGGCGATTGGACCAGGGCGATTGATCAATGGAAGGATTGATCATATGTGTGCAGAGCACGTCTGGATTTACTGTGATTGCCAGGAGCGCTCTCTTTTCTCACTCTGTCTTTTTTTTTTTTTTTTTTTTACACATTAACGTCTCTTCACCTCCAGCCTGAATCGTGTTCAAAACCACTCTTTAGGGTACCCACAGCACGGACTCGAAGGAGGTAGAATCCGCACATCAAATATTCACTCCCTAAACCAGGCCTACAATTTAAACTAGCCGGCGAGGCTGAAACTGTCAGCTTTTGTTGTCTAAATGAGGTTATTCTGCTGTACAGAAGAGCGGGGGTGGAAAAGCCTTAACCTCAGGGTATCATGGGCAGCTGCTTAATGGAGGAATCAATATGTTTGTCCCGTTATTGACGGCTGAAACTGTGTTCCTTCACCTGGGAAGAATGGCTAATTTCTCTCTGGTCCTTTACCTGCTATAACTCCAGGTGTTGATACTGTTGGACACATATGGTTTGCTTCTCGCACTCTCCATCAGCCGTTTCTCACATCGTGATGCGCTACGTACGCTAGCTGACGTTTATCCAAGCAGGTAACCGTTGCTGTTGCCACGAGAGACTATTGATTTATGATCTTTCTTGCAGACACATCTCAGTCAGTATTAAAGTCACTCTCTGAGTTTACCCCGAGGCTAAGTAGCATAGGGATACACTGTTTGAATGCATCATAATAGTGATTCATCTCAGAAGAAAAGGATAGATTGTTTTCAAAGAACTGGTTTATTAATAATGCTTGGCTGTACATAAAGGTGAGCTTTAATGAAAGCTGTGATGTGAGGTGATGTGTGTAATGTCTTTGGCACTAGTGGCACCAAATGGAATGTTAATTATTATAGTATATTTATTTTCTGAAAATATTATTTATTTAACATCAATGCTATAAGGTGTGAAGTGTTGCTGTGGCGTTGCTTTTCGGTTTCCCTGGTACTCTGGGTGGTTTTTAGGTGGTGTCTTTGGCCCGAGTAAATATAAACGGAGCATGCATAATATTCAGGTCAATAGGCCAATGGGCTTAGCTGTAGGATTTTTTCTTCACTTTTTGTGTTTTGTTTTGCCTTGTTCTGTTTGTTTGTTTGTTTTGTTTTCAGTGTGAAAATTGTAAGTTGCATCACTTAAAAATAGAATAGTACACCTTTCTTCAACACATACATGATTTAAAGTTTTTTTTTATTATTATTATTTTTTATTAAACATTTACTTACAAGATACAGAGGTGAGCATTCATAAGCCAAAAAAAGAGTGAAAGGCTGAAAGATATTACATCACATTTAGAGACTTTAGAGAAAGAAAAAAAGGAAGTATGTATTAGAAACAATTCTACCCATAAAACATAGAAGAATTATAATAAAATAAAGAAATTATTAAATGTATATATATACACCCATCTCCATCCCCTGACCCCACCCCTAATCCTACCCATCTCCATCCCCTGATCCCTAACCCTAATCCTAACCTACCTAAACCTACCCATCTCCGCCCCCTGATCCCTAACCCCACCCCTAATCCTACCCATCTCCACCCCCTAGGGGTGGCACGGTTCACGAAACCGACGGTTCGGTTTGTATCACGGTTTTCGGTTCTGTACGGTTCTTGTTATTTTTTTCTTTTAATCTTTAACACTCCAGAAATGTACTTCAGCATGTGATGTATAGCTTAATTATCCACACTTTAGGATACAGTATAAAGAAAATGATATTCATGCAATCATGCACAAACTGAATTTGACTCTTTGACTTTAAGCACATTTTGGGACTATCTCAGAGGAAAGCTAGGTGAGATTTTGACACAGCAAGAGAGAAGACATTGACATGCTTTTCGTTTATTTGGCAAAAAAAAAAAGGAGAATGTGTATCACTATGTCTACAAGAACTTGTGCATTTTTATCACACAAATCTTATTTACACAAAGAAATTAACTTGCATTTATCAACTGCCAACTTTTGTAGCTCTTACAAAAATTCTATCTTTTAAAAGAAAAAAAAGAGGAACTCTTAAAACACTGTCTTTTATGAATAAGTCGATATACATGAAACCTCATTGCCTATAATTAGGCTATAGCAATATGAAACATAAGTTCAACCTCAACACAAAAGACAGTATCAACAATGCTTCTATTCCCAGAGAGTGAGGGTACTTTTTTTTTCACTTGAAATTAAAGTGCAGGATTTGGAAACATTTGACTGAAGCTCTTATCTAAACATAAAGTGCCACTGTAGCATTATATTAAAATATCATAACATGAAATCCAAAATGTTCCCACACACTGGACTTATACCATAGACTTATACGACGCTGGCACATCCTCCAACTCCCTCATCTCTCCCACTTGCCATTTCTCCGCGTGCCGTGACCTGCAGCGCTCCATAGTCCACTTTTACTGGCTTGTTTACTAACTTGAACCGGCGCTGCACAGAGCGATCGTTAATGACATCAAATACCGCGAAAGTGATTGAAAAGCATACGGAGCCGTCGCTCTTGCACTAGTTTGATGTTATTCACCGGTCGCTCTGTGCAGCGCCGGTCCAAGTCGAACAAGCTTATGTCGCGCGAAAAGAAAACACACGTCACATACGGGCATTGCGCATGCGTCGAACCGTGAGACGCACACACGCTCCGAACCGAACGGTTCGGGTGTTTTTTCATGTACCGTGCCACCCCTACCACCCCCTGACCACTAATCCTACCCATCTCCACCCCCTGACCCCTAACCCCTAATCCTACCCATCTCCGCCCCTGATCCCTAACCCCACCCCTAATCCTACCCATCTCCGCCCCCTAACCCCAAAATCTTAGCCATTTCCATCCCCTGAACCACTAAAGGGTTAGGGTTTTAAGTACTGCCATGTCTTGTCAACCTGCAGCTGAGTTGTTTTGTCTGATTTGGTGTTAGATAAAGTGCTGTTTACAACAAAATGACACTTGTTATTGGTTAAGGTGTGCGTGAATGAACTTTTGCTTCCCATATTAAAGACATGGTGTGAAAACCAACATCCTGTTTGGCTGTTTGTTCCCCGTGATGGCTTGTTATTCAGGCACAGGCAGGGTCCTTGTGACACCTCCACCGCCACTGAGCTCGGCAGTCTCCGCCAATGGCACGTATCCAGCCCTGCCTCGTGCAAATGAGTTTTTCGCTCACCCTGTTTCACCCCCTGCGTCGGCTCCCGTGCTCGTGCGTGGAGACGCTCGCCACAACACATTCACCTG